TATGTTTTTCAATTACGAATTTTAAACACTACAATTAAATAAGGGTCTGGAGTCGACCTGATGATGGAGTCGACAGACAGTCGAGGGAACTCCTCAGCGGTTTATATTAACTACCTTGTGTTTGGGCTTGATTAATTTGTATTGATGAGGACTTTACACCTAGATAGAGTGGGGCTGTCATTAAGGATGTGATGATGAAGAAGTGTAATTGTTAAGGGAACTCCTCAACGGTATACAGTAACTACCTTGAGTTTGGGCTTGATTAATTTGTATTGATGAGGACTTTACACCTAGATAGAGTGGGGCTGTCATTAAGGGTCTGATGATGAAGAAGTGTAATTGTTAAGGGAACTCCTCAACGGTATATTGTAACTACCTTGTGTTTGAACTTGTACAATTTGTATTGATTAGAACTTTGCACCTATGTATATTATAAGTAACAAAACGGGTATATGTAGCTTTACACTGAAAATGGTAAAATAATAAAATAAAAACTGCGTTTAAAAAACCGACTTCAAAAACCAAAAACTAATAAGAAACAAAAAGTCAATACTAAAAAGCAAAAAATAACTATTATTAGTACTGATAGGTTACCCACCCACTGATAGGTAAGAAGTCGGTGCCATAAGTTCCATACAAAATTAGTCATTAAAACCTTAATAGGTACCTAATTCACAATTTGTGGACATTAAGTTATATCATTATGATATGAGCTTATGGCACCGACTTCTAACCTATCAGTGGGTGGGTAACCTATCAGTACTAATAATAGTTATTTTTTGCTTTTTAGTATTGACTTTTTGTTTCTTATTAGTTTTTGGTTTTTGAAGTCGGTTTTTTAAACGCAGTTTTTATTTTATTATACTTAATTTAGTATGTCTCACGATAGTTATTATAAAAACGTAGCTATATCTGCTACTCTGCCAGTATCGGTTGATATAGTCAGTTGATGTGGATTTACATAAGTTTCGACTAGAATACATGGGACAGGTCCGGTAGAAAATATTATTTAATGAGCAGGTTGTGGCTCAATACGTATAAAATCTGGTGTATGATTAGTTAAGCCAAGAGGTTGCGTATTAGGAGCTTAATTTATACGCATAATTGGATATTTCTAGTATGTGGCGTGATCTGATCACAAGGTCGTTCATAAACTATTAGGTGTTGTTAGAGCCCCGATATTGCAGAGTGGTTGAATTTTCATTCATATTTTCACATTGCTTGTGTGTAACATACAATATTTCATTAAATCAGTTGATACTTTTAATATTTTTAGTCCTAATTAACTAAGTAACGTAACTCTACTGAATCTGGTTTTTGTGGTTCTTCTAATTTCTACACCTCACATCTCATCTCATCTCTTTTTAAGTAATGAACAATAATTGAACTATGGAAAACTCTGATCTGTCCGTATCCTCTATTTAAATAACTTTTTTGCGCCTTCTCTTAATTGCAGGAAGACTTCTTCTTGTAACTAACTGTACTATGATTGTAATATCATCGTACACTCGTACTTACTGATACCCCTCCACAACATTGCATCCATTTCTGATGGCAACCTTGGCAGATACTTAAATATTGTTTTCAAAGGTCAACCACGAAGATAATGAGGTATCACTTAATGTACGGCGGGTGCATCCTAAAGAGTTTTGTAACAAAACATCCGGTCACTGATGCAACACACCGCGGCCGGCGATGCGCCAGCGCAGCACTGCCGCCCGGTGCGTGGCTCTCGTAAACAATATGTACGCTAATTATGATGTCACTATGGCAGCTCTGGTTTGCAATTTCCACTATTTCCCCGGGAAATCAATGTAATCGGAAATGTTTAGTAAACAGTTAGATTAGTCTAGGAGTCTAGGTACCCACTGGGCTCAATAACCTTTTTTTTTATTTGCTGCTGTACCTTCTGCTATGCTACGTGTCTTGGATTCGATTTCCGCATTGTGCGAACCACAAATTGTTGTTCCGGATCTGAATGGAATGATAGACGACTCAAGAGAAAATCCCAGGGTGGAGCAACGTTTAAAAAAATTAAGAATGTTTTTCACGAGTCACAGAGAGGACCTCAATACTTATATACTTTAAAGTAGAACCGGTAAATTTGCTAAGAATTCGGAAGCTAGGTCGTGTTTGTCGGCCTCCATAGTGATGACAATGTCAAGTGCTTCGTTTCACGAGACAGTAAGAAATGGTACCTAGTGTTTGTCCACACCACATGGCACCGGTTTACTCTCAATAGTAGCATTACTATACATAAACTGTACAGAAGTATCACTCTGTGTAAATTGTAACAGAAAATTAACCCAAATAGTCTATTGGAATATATCAATTTTAAAGTCTTATAACATCTCCCATAAAGCTCAGTAATCAGAAAACACTGCCATAAAATAATTGCAGCTAAACTACAAAATTCACCAATAAGGGCAGAAAGCAAACAATCTTTGGTTGATAAATATGCTAAAATATCGGTCTATAATCATCTCATTTCTAAGGTCTTGTGGAAGAGAAGGCATTATTATTAAATTAACCTTCTACCTTACTTGCCTAGTGCTACAATTTCCAAGCATCACCTGATTGAGGTGAAAACTAACAAGGCTTAGAAAGCGGCGCGCGCGCAGTTTCCACATGCGCCTGATCATTGCGACTGTGAGACGAGACTGTACAATGAAACGATGGAAACTTAAAGCTTAAGAACTGACGTGAAAAGAACTGTTAAATTAATTGATTTATTTCTTCATTGTCATTCACTGGATAATAGAATTGTAGAAAAACAGAAACCATTAGCGTAAGTTACTATTGCCGTGAGAAAGTAGACGTAAGTAGATAACTACAGAAAAACTTAATAGCGAAAGGAATTTTAAAATTGGACATCATTTAAAATAACGTAAACCACTATAAAGCCCTGAAGCTCGTTTCCTTCGTTTTATTTAGGGATCCTCAACGGAGCTCTGTATTAAATACTTGGGTATAATGTCCCTCTCAATGTGCAACTTTGTTTGCACAATTTTTGCAGAATACGACTATCAATACAGCTAATAAAATAATTGGAAAAGTGGATATCACTATTAGTACGGACGTTGTAATTTTGTAAGGCGTAACACCCTGTTACATAACAATTTCATTCATGAAACTAGATTTCCTCAAATCTGTAATGTGCGGAATCGCAATCGATTAGTTTTAGTACAAAAACATGTCGGAAGTACAAAACACGGCGTGTTTGCGCATGCGCACCCAACTTGAAATCACTGATTATTGTTACAATTCCGTGTTTACGACTGCATGCTTCGTGATTAGTAAAATCCATTCATGATTTCAGCTTATATCATCATGATTTGGTTGCCCGAAAGGAAATATATGACTGTCAGTCGATATTTAGCAAGTTTGAAAAAAAAAACAAAATAAAACAATAGCACCTTCGCCATCGCTTCTTAAATCTCCATATTACAATTACAATTAAAAAACAACATCAGCAATTAATGACAGTAGGTGGCTCGATGTACGCCAAATGCAAAGGTAGAAAAATTGTCATGAGCAATAAATAACATCATAGTATTTTCGAGAAGTTTTAGCATCTAGATCCAGACTTGTAGAGAGACACGTGAACACGGCGAGCTGCCGGTAGCGAGCACAATGGCTACAATGCTGCACAATAGCCCGCTCATTGATATGTCCCGGTATGCACGACGATCGCACGGCTATTTCCCTTCCAGCCGGCATGGGCTGCTCACGAGACTCAATCAGGGTGGCGTGATCCAGTACCTACTAATAATTTGCAAGAGAACAACGATTTCGGAATAATCAGAGATTTGTAATTGTTAGATTAAAGCTAGTAATACTGGGTTTTTAAAAATTAGAAGTACGGTGTCTGGAATTGTGCCCGGTATATGGCAATAGGTCCACCCCCTTTTATATGGGACTCATAACATAAATAGTGAAAAGTGTGTGTTACATTGTACAGTGGCATTAAGTGCCTTAATGTGCACATGTAGATGTGCACCTCTGCCTACCCCTTCGGGGATAAAAGGCATAAAGTTATTTTAATAAAGCTAAGTTTGCCGATTAGAACAGGGATTGCGCAGCGCCTCCATTTTCTATAAATTTATCTATCAAAAACTGTGTCCAACTTCAGAAGGACCAAAATGTTCAACTAAAGATCGGTTGATTGGATAAGATGAATTTACATAACTAATACAAATATACAATCCACATAATGTTTGTCTGGCATAAAACAGCCCAACATTGAAATCTCTTTAAAGAAACCATAAGAACAAACATTATAACTCTTAAAGTACTTATGTAGGTAGAGCTAGAATATCAATGCTACACACCGGACTACGAGCTCTCCGCCTAATAGGACCATAAGGGCCAACCTTAAAGGACCTTGACACAGTTAGCGAGCGCGGACTGGGTCAATATCCCACTAATGGGCAACAGTTCTTACGCAACGGCAGGTCACTGACCACTGGGACCAGTACTCGCTGGTCCCTGGTATGACCACTTTCTCCTCCCTCCCGCAGACCAGCTCTAAGTAGGTCTAGTTTCTGTTTGACCCAACATAGGATATCCTTCCTTAAATTACGGAAGCAATCGACGATTTCTTTCTAATACGGAAGTGAAACTTATATTCTAGTTAATACTTGTTTCAGTAATTTCTTCAATATAAATCGGTATGTGGTAATCTTTGATCATTAATACGGCATTTATTTTAATGTTCATTGCGCAGCGTAGCGTTTAATTAAACATGTCGTGTTTGTCTGTATGTCATATAAATAAACGAGCGTGTTCAAATTCAATAATTACTTTAATAAGATTTTTTAAACGGTCCATAACCAATTTTTGCACTATTCTTACAGTTTAATGGGTCCAATAACGTTTAATAATTTTACCACGTAATGTGCCATCATCATGTGGTGCGTGTAGTAACTATGTGTTCGTTGTTATCTTTTCTATTATGATGTTCAAGTACTTCAACTTAACCTTCTGTTTGTGTTTTCCAGTGACGAGGAAGACACGGGCCGACTGCTGCGGCAGCTGAGCAGGATCAACAGGCCGCTCGGAGTCACCTTCCCGCAGATGGTCAAGCTAATGTCACAGTGCCAGCAGGTATGAGGACTAATAAGCAGGAACTTAACTTTGTAATTTGTTTACTACGAAAGACAGACAAATATTCTCTCTCGGAGACATTGAATGATTACTTAAACTATTCCTTAGTAACGATTCTGTTCCGAAAACAATTGGTAAAGACTGGATTAAGTAGCCATTAAATGCCTCTATGTACGGCGGGTAGTGTCCCAATAAAATATGACGATTTATATACTTCTCAAAAACATTTAATGAGAGAGTCAATTACACGTGTTTGTAGGTAGCACAATACAAAGTGCGTGTATACCGTGTCTACATTACCCACATAATTATACATTATACATCTAGGAAATGAGATTAATTGCATGAGAAGAATCGCTTTCACGTTTGTAGTAAGGTGATCGATGGAACACTAGCTTTAATTATGTGAGAAATGTGGAAACCAAACCGAACACAGTACTACAAGATTTATCGTGTTAATGCCTATATTATGTATATACTTTCAAACAGAAGTCAGCCATATAGGGCAGCTTTCGGTTCATTATTAAATTACCGATACCGATGAAAATTAAAAAGATAAAAATAGGTACCCGCCTTGGGTTAGGCGAGAGGGAGAGTCAAACTCTTATTGCCTAAAAACCACCCCCTTCCTACTGCCGCTTTCCGAGCCGGAGCCCCGGCAACCCGTTAGGCCTTTCGCGCGGCTCATCTTTCACTGATGCTGCAAAGAGATTTTATGAACAAACATTCGGTATCATCTCCTAATATTTTTGACCTAGAGCTCAGTTGTATTTCGTAACCGAAGATGGCAATGCCCTCTTTGAACCGCATAATTTGTCTCTCATTATGTGCCATATTCGGTGCTATGGCGACCCGTCACCTGGCCTTAACCCATAACTATTAGACCGACAAAAAATAATAAAGTATTTATTTTTACATTGCATTGAATATTATTAAACTCATGTCGGAAAATGGCAATTAAATTGAAGTGTATATGATATATTTACATATTTTTAGAATTCAATCATACCTATATTTTGTATCGGTGAGATCTGATTGTAATTATAGACTATCACGAGTACGCGGCACGCGAATGTGGCGTATGCCATGAGTGAAGTATTTAACGTGTTTATATCCACCTGTTTATTCTCTACTAACTTCTGCCAGCGGCTTCGCCCGCGTTCCCACATAATCTACCTCTGTTTCAAATGTCATCCCGGTTCCTTCAGTCGTTTTGATGTAACTGAGTAACAAACATACACATTTTATTAATACACAAACTCACATATTTTCACATTCACATTTATAATATCGGTACAAACTAATTTCAACTATTGGCCCTCAACTTACAACGTAAAGTCCACTGCAGGCAACCTAACATTCGACAAACTTATATATGCGTTTGGTACAGTAACTGTGTCTTTATTATTAAACCGCATAATTAAGTGTTGTGCCTAGGGTAATAAAGTATCATCATATCAAGTTTAATCGTAATCGGACTGGTAGTTTTTGCGTGATGCGTGAACATACAGACAGACAGACAAACAGACAAACATTTTTTAATTTTAGTTTATAGTTCAGTGTCATCTAGTAAAACCCTCTACTATATATTTTTATTTTAGTTCATAGTTCAGTGTCATCTAGTAAAACCCTCTACTATATATTTTTATTTTAGTTCATAGTTCAGTGTCATCTAGTAAAACCCTCTACTATATATTTTTATTTTAGTTCATAGTTCAGTGTCATCTAGTAAAACCCTCTACTATATATTTTTATTTTAGTTCATAGTTCAGTGTCATCTAGTAAAACCCTCTACTATATATTTTTATTTTAGTTCATAGTTCAGTGTCATCTAGTAAAACCCTCTACTATATATTTTTATTTTAGTTCATAGTTCAGTGTCATCTAGTAAAACCCTCTACTATATATTTTTATTTTAGTTCATAGTTCAGTGTCATCTAGTAAAACCCTCTACTATATATTTTTATTTTAGTTCATAGTTCAGTGTCATCTAGTAAAACCCTCTACTATATATTTTTATTTTAGTTCATAGTTCAGTGTCATCTAGTAAAACCCTCTACTATATATTTTTATTTTAGTTCATAGTTCAGTGTCATCTAGTAAAACCCTACTATATATTTTTATTTTAGTTCATAGTTCAGTGTCATCTAGTAAAACCCTCTACTATATATTTTTATTTTAGTTCATAGTTCAGTGTCATCTAGTAAAACCCTCTACTATATATTTTTATTTTAGTTCATAGTTCAGTGTCATCTAGTAAAACCCTCTACTATATATTTTTTTAATATTTTCAATTTACACTTCTACAGTTTGAATATATGTATAGATTAGAGAATGGCAAAGAAATAGAATTTTATTAAAAGTTAAATCATTATCTTCTTGTCTTTACTTACGGTTCTCATATACCTATGTACCTTTTGGTGAATTAGGTAATGAAGAACGCGTATAGTAACAATGTTCACAGATTGCAAAATAAATAACAGACGTTTATAACCAGTAATTGACCCTATTGAGATCTCATTCATACGTAACGAAACTATCATCAGTTAAGTATTAATTGGTACGATAAATACTGGTATTGCCATCTAGCGCCTAATAGCAAAACAAAGGTTAACTATAAACATTTTAAATAGGTATTTTAAAAGGTGCAAACTAGACATCATGTTTAATGATTTACATGTGTGTATTTATTCCAGGTTGCAGGCGTAGAAGCTTTAGACGAGAGCGACCATCCTATCCTTGGTAGTACCGGTGGAGGCTGGCGAGAAACCGGCACCGCACGAGCCCGGCTAGATGCTGGTGGCGCACATGCTGGGCTGTTAGGGGGCAGTCCACTCACATTATTGCAAGGAATTATACCAGGTAAAAAAGGAGTTACCACAATAGTAATGTTCTAAAAAAAATATTATGAACTGGTTATTCAATTGCTGATTGTGTTTGTTACAGGTACAAAGTGGTGCGGCACGGGTGACATAGCCACAGACTACCACGACCTGGGCGCAGACAGGCGCCTGGACCGCTGTTGCCGCACGCACGACCTCTGCCCCACGAAGGTGCGCGCCTTCTCCAGCCGCTATAACCTCACCAACAACTCACTATACAGCAAGTCTCACTGTACTTGTGACGACATGCTCTTCGATTGCCTCAAGACCACCAACACCTCCGCCTCACATCTCATGGGACACATCTACTTCAACATCGTTCAAGTACCCTGCCTCGAGGACGTCGACGACGCTCGACGATTTCGTAATGCTAGGCTGGGATTTTAACTCTATCTAGCGGAGAATAGCGGAATTATACTCATCAGCGCCATCTAGTAGTCACGATAGTGTGTCATGCATGCACAGATTTTTTTGATGCTGTAAATTTTGCATTTTGCGTAATTTATCTTCTTGTTATTCTCTAATGAATGTGATTGTAAATAATTATTAAATTTTAATAATGTTCTTATAAACATTAGACATCAAGCTGTGATACGTCTGTGCCTTTAAATGTACTAGAAAGTATTTGGTTAGAGGATGGCGCTATACAAATAAAACACATTGTTTTAAATTAATAGGTAGATTCTAAGATATTTATTTATTTGTTACAAGTATTCATGACAAAGATGCAGATTCTCTATTGTTATAAATAGTCACAAGAGTTTAATATTTGTTTATGAAGACAAAGATATTTTATAATAATATAGAGAAATAAATGTGTTAGTTCATACCAAATAAAATATTTATTTTATGTTATTTGTATGATTTTCCCTTGCTGATGAAGGTAGTTTCAAAACTCTCTCGATGAAGGCAGTCTTTTTCTAAAGAATTTTATTCAGAGAAATTCTACAAAGGAATGGCCTTAAATATGTAGACTCGTGAAACTTTAACGTTTGATGGCGAGAGACGCTCATTGAACGAACAATTTCAATCATCTATATTATAATACTAGCTTCTGCCCGCGACTTCGTCCACGTAATAACTTTTGGCAGAATTTGGGTTTTTGAATTAGTCTTTATCAAGGGAAACGAAATATTCTATCTACGTTAATGAATGTCGTCGAAATTGATTCAGTATCTAGTATAGGCTCCTCCCCCGTAGATGATAACGTGATAATAGGTATGTAGCCTACATATTGACCCGACTTGTTAGCTAGTTAGTTTGAAGAATGCAGTACATTTTGAGATCATCCCGGACATACAAACAGACAAATAGAACAGAAACAGACAAAAATTCTAAAAACCTAATTTTTGGCTTCGTTATCTATTGCAAATCACGCTCCAAGTATTCTTTTTAAAAAATGTTCAACGTACAGCTTTGACTTTTCTACGATTTTATTATATTATAATTATACTTATAGATTTTACGATTTCGAAAATTTTTTTTTCTACGATTTTATTACATTATATACTTATAGGACTGCCTCGTTGGCCGAGTAGTCGCAAGTGCGACTGCCGGGCAAGAGGTCTCGGGTTCGATTCCCGGGTCGGGCAAAGTATTGCTGGGTTTTTAAAAATTCTCAGTAGTAGCACGGAGTCTGGAATTGTGCCCGGTATATGGCAATAGGCTCACCCCCTATTACATGGGACTCATAACATAAATAGTGAAAAGTGGGTGTTACATTGTACAGCGGCATAATGTGCACCTCTGCCTACTCCTTCGGGGATAAAAGGCGTGATGTTATGTATATACTTATAGATAGATGTAGGAAGGTACATACAATTGTAAGTTTTTTTACAAGTTTTAAGTTTTTAGAAGTTTGACGGGATTTGTCCCATCCGTGAGGTGTAATTTTATAAGTATACCTATTATAGGTAGGTACTTTTATGAAATTGATATTGTTATGAAAATACTAAATAGTATTTATAGTTCAGTAATTTGGTGGCTCTATAAGTCCTTACTTACAGCATACAATTTTCTTTTTGTTGAAAATATTATTTATTCCCTCTTTCATTTAAGTACTTACTTTCCTAATATTAAAAAAGTAGTCTCATTTTAAACTGATAAATCTCGTGTCAAAATTTTAAAGTAATTGAAAAGTAAAGGAAACAACTAGTGCGCTTCATATTTGTTAAAATGTCTATTTTTATAAATTAGTTAGGTACGTTTTTATTGCATCTTTACAGAAAATTCCAAAAACCTAAAAAGTCGTATCTGAAAGAGCATCTTCTTTTTCAGCCATAAAATTTAAAGGCAAAATATTCAGTTTTACAAATAAATCGGTACATTTCTTGTAACTCAAAATCTCTCCTTTTTTTGATGGTATTTTTTTAAGGTGGGAAAATCTTTTTGATGGTATTTTTTTTTAAGGTGGGAAAATCTTTTTGATGGTATTAAATAAAACATAGGTAGGTAAATGCAACAAACAACGCAAAGAGCGAGTCCGTAAAAGTACCTTAGCTTCCAGTTGAAAGAAAGACATGATACCAAAAACTCTGCTTGAAAAATGAAATCATGTGCGCTTCTTGTTTAAAGAAATCTCTGGTTAGTTCTGTTAGGTGGAAAAAAATACACATTGATGCTGGAAATGCAAAAACATCGAAAAATGTAGATCTTTTCAATATCTACAACTTTGCCATATAACTTTATTCATAGGACTTGTATATTTGCCAGAAATCAAGATAAACCATTTTTATCCCTTAAAGCTTAGGGTTTGGGGCCCCTTCTTTTCTAATGGGTTTTATCCTATTGTAATTTTTATTTGGTTTAAAAAATTATCGACTGGTATACTAGAGCGAGGAGTTTAGATGAATTGACTTTCTTTTATGGAAAGGAGTAGGTAATAAGCAAGTACCGAGGTCCAAGGTGGCAAACTATAAAATAAAACGTAAAACTACTTATATAGAGAAAAATATGTAGGTAATCTATTATGTACTAAGTACACAACCTCAATACCTTGTTAATACAGAGAATATTAATTATTCTATTCTTAAAAAAAATACTGATATTCAACCATATTGATAAATGATTTTGGATTTATTTTGATAGTTTATTGGAACTGGGTTTGTCAACGGGCAATGGAGCGCAGTATCTAAAAGTCCGATTATCGGACATAATAAGAAACTCCATATTGCGCTCCAAAACTCAAATCACTGACGTTGGTCGTAAAGCCGCAAGCTTAAAGTGGAACTGGGCTGGTCATGTCTGCCGCGTGTCAGACGAGCGGTGGGCAAAACTCACTACTGAGTGAAGCCCGCTTAACGTCAATAGACGTCGCTGTAGGCCCAGAAAGAGATGGCGGGATGAAGTTGACGCCTATGAAAAGGATTGGCCACAGAAAGCTTTAAGAAGAGACGAGTGGAAGGATACAGGTAGAGCTTTGCTCTGCAGTGGGATGACAGGAATGGCTAAAAATAAATCTATACTTATAATAAATCTGTAGAGAGGTCAATTCTGTACATAAAATATATTTAAAAAATAACTATCAAGGGGTGGTTTGGGATCGCTACTGATGCCAAAAATGCAATCAGTACAATTTTTGTCTGTCTGTCTGTCTGTCTGTATGTTCGTTATGGAAACAAAAACTACTTGATGGATTTTAACGAAATTTGGCACAATTATTCTTCATACCCTTGGGCAGGTTATAGTATACTTTTCATTACGCTACGATCAATAGGAGCAGAGCAGTGAAGGGAAATATTGGGAAAACGGGAGAAGTTACTCCATTTTTTAAGCTTCCGTCGCGTGTGCAGTCTTATAGGTTGAAGCTGCATAGAAATCATGTATGACGGAAATATTCTCCTTAAAATTATATAAAAAATATTCCTCGACAGCATATGTCTCTCTTTTATGGTTGACTCACAATAACACGTGAAACTCCCGATAGCTTAGCAGTTCGGTGATTTCTGATTGTATTTGTCTACTCTAACGTTTACAATACTCATTCATAGACTTTACGCTGTAACTGAAAGGCCAATGATTGAAATTAGCTTGACTCCATATTAAAAATGAAAATATGTGAGTTTATGTGTATGTTTGTTACTCAGTCATATTAAAACCACTGAAGGGACCGGAATGAAATTCGGAACAGAGGTAGATTATGGTCTGAAGTGATACATAGGCATTTTACCCCTGGGATCGCGGGCGAAGCCGCTGGCAGAAACTAGTAATTAAAATAAATTGGAACAAGTGGTAGACCATCAAACGAGAATTAGTGTCAAAATAAGTGAACGCTACTGTAAACAAAAATAAAATAAAATGAAAATAGAACGCACCGTTTATTTTTTTAACTGTCAACACAACAACGTCAAACGTCAACTGAGAAACGTCAAATAGTTTTCATGATTTCATCTCTTTTTTCTCTGCAATAATCATAATTTCTAAACTTTTCAAGTTCTAAATTGGTGTAATAATGCTAAAAATTCGGAGACTAGTATCATATTAGTAATAATTGAATTTAATGAACAGTCGGTCCAAGATGTCGAACGACATAGCTGAAAGTGCAAAAGGTGTGTTATTTTGTTAAATTGTTTGTTAATTTAGGCGATAATGTTTCCGTAGAGGCACTGAATGGTGTTTCTGTTTCAAGTGGAGGCCGCGGCAGAGTGCAACGGCCCGTCCCCAGACCAAACGCGACGATTACTTGAAGAAGAATTTAATGTGCAACGAGCGAAAATGAAAGAGTTGTTCTTACAAAAAGAAGGTTCGTTGTCCGTTATCAGCAGCATAGGCCGCGCGGGCGTAGTGTACACTTGGTTCTGGTTTGGTACATTGCATGAAATTTCAATTATTCACATGATAACATTGTTTTTAAAATGGCTAGATGTCAATGCATACAAAGTATATTTTGGTTTGTGGATACTTACGTTTTGTTATGGCATTTGTTTGGTAGTTGGTTGGTTGAGTTGTGGATTTCATCTTGGTATGTCGTTTTCGATTTCACCTTGTCTTCGTGAAGTAGTTCCTGTTGCTAAACAAGTTGTTTGCTCCTTCCACCAGGCGGCAGGTCATGTCAACACAATACACTAACAGCATTATTTTGTTTGATATGCATTCATTCTGCATGTTTCCATTTATGAAATAACTCTTATTGGTTCATTTGTATAATGATTACAAGTCACTGCTCAGCTGAATGCAGCACTATATACCTGGCTGTGTCTCAAAGGCGGGGTAACACTTGACATAACATTTGTATTCAGCACAAAATGTATGTTGTTATTGTGTTTTCACCTCTAAATTAATAACAACATCCACTTGTAAGTGATTGTTGGTTTATGGTAAGTATAAAGGATTTTTTACATAATTGGTTTTGTGAAAATCTCATTGTTAGAAGGTAATTGGTTGCTTATTGTGTTTGTGAGGTCTAGGTGATGGTGATTTGGAATATTTATTATATTATATTTATTTGTAACAGACATCAAATTTTGAGGTGTACAAATTGTTAATTATTAATAATAACCATTCCATATTTAAACCGTTATAATTATTTTATTTTATTATAACCGTTATAATTTGGTCCACCAACAATTGATTACACTGATACAATAAAGGGTTACATTTACAATAACTTAAATACTAGTGCATCAATCTATTATGCAAGCACAACATTTATGGTATACTAAATGGTTTACAAATGACTATGATGATACAACATGCAAATAAAATTATGTCACTACTTATTTTTGGGTAGATACCAGTTTTCCTAAAGTACCCAGCCAAATCTGGTTCAATTTATTAATAACTGGCCAGGACAAACATGGTTGTTTCAATGAAATTAATCTGAATAATTTACCTATTAGAGGTGAACTAATGTTCACACAATGTCCTATAATGTGCATAACATTCTCCTTTGTGAATGTGCCTTTTTTATTGTGTGAACAAATTAGCACATTCTCCAATGTCACTTATTACCACGTAGATGTAAACAATGGTAGAATATAAGTTGGAATAGTTTTGTGAAAAGTAGAATAATGTAAAACAGTAACTATTATAAATTAGCAGTTATTGATTACTGGGTCTGTGTTAGACACAAGTAGGTATTAGTATCATCATTATAATTAAAAAAAAAATTGTTAATAGTTATTCCAATAAGCTATAAACATAGATATTCGAATATTTTTTGCTTATTGGAATAATTGACAAATTAATTATGTCAATGTCATATTTTAGAAACATTGATGGTGTTGGTTGGATATTCTGCCTCTTCGTACGTTTGACATAGACATGAATAATGATAACTTTTTGTTTAAATGAACTATAACTCTTTGCAGAGGACATGAGGAAGATGCTGCAGGACAAGGAGCAGCTGGAGTCAGAGGTGCTGGGGCTCCGAGCGGAGCTGCAGCAGCTGCAGACACTCAGTGAAAACCAGAAGTCAGAGATACAGAGCTTGCAGATGCTCGTTAGTGGTAAGTGGTGATTGATTGTATCATTCTACATATCTATTACTGGAGTGTGAGTCTTGGATGTCTCAGAGGGAAATATTCCAATTAGACTTGAGAATTATAGTTTATGATCAAACTATAAGCCAAAACACTTTATGTTATACCAGTTACTTACTGTGTGAATCTGTAAATTACTAATGTAATAATAATTATCATTAACAAATTACAATCAACAACAACTATTATATAGCACACTTACCTTAATTTTCGCGCGCAACTATGCTTTCTATGGAAACAACTGTACCAATACATACATTCTGGTTTGTCATATATTTACTATAACAAACAGGATATAATTCCGACTGTGAACTGATTGCAATGATTTTGTCACTCTCACAACATTGTGTTACTCATTAATTATTCAATTCGATCGCTATTCATGCAGAACTTTTTTCTTATCAATTTCTCCATAATTAATGACTTTGATACTATTAAAATCCTCTAGATATGCTTGTTTAAAAAATCCAGCATGATGATAATATTATCATTGTTATCAAGCAACTAATTAAACCATAAAATAAGCCAAAATAAACCAAGCAGACGTCATTTGAAAATGGGTGTGTTGGCATTATTAAACTGATGATGTCTTGATATGAAAAGTCTCAGTAAATACCAATATAAATACCAATGTAAATACAATAAATCCATCCCCTCCTATCGCCCAGGCAACACTCTTGCAACTCCAATTGCATCCATCGACGGCGCACCTGGTCGTTATCACTAAGTGATCTATCTGTTAATTTATCCCCTTATCACATAAAAAATCCAAATTTAGATTACAAATTATGTCCTGAACAAACTTTCATACACATTTTTTTTCATCATAATGAGTATGTGGTGTTCGAAATGTCCTATACGTTTTCCTCATATACTATGCAATGTGTGAACGTGCGAGGTTGTACCATGTTGCAGTCATTCTGTCTATCTTGGGGCTCCAGAGGTACCTATTACAAAGCTGGTTAAAGGACTTTACATCTTATTATCAAATAGTAGTTTGAAGAAAAGGTAAAACTAAAGAAAGCGTAACAGACGGCAATACATCTGTAACTTTCTGGTATTGTGGATGTACCAACGAACAGCTTTAATCACTTATCATCAGGCGACTTATTTGTTTGGTCTCTTGGTCTCCCCCGTCATGAGTGAATTAAGTTGTTAAATAGGCATTTGTGCTCTATCGTCAGAATAGTCAGTAGCTACGTTAAATTCTATCTACAGAGACCGTGGAGGCCTCGTCTTCAGGCACAGAAGAAGTTAGAAGATTGAGAGTCAGGAACCTCGAGCTGGAACAGCATCTGAACCAAATGAGACAACAACAACAGGTTAGTGAAAACGGCATTTTAAATCTTATGCAGTTGACGTAGAACACAGTTTCTATTACACAGTGTCACATCATATTTGGTTCAATATTTTTTATATAGGTTAAAAAAATATACTCAAACGAAAGCAAATTACTGTAGTAATCCGTAAACGTATTTACCGACCTTGTCTTGTTCTCACACGCTATCTGAATTTACATAAATATTTTGTACCAGTTAAACAAATATACATACAGGTTCACCGGTGTACTAAAGTCGGTGTCTATTGAATTCCAATAGCACTTACGCGTCTTATGTTTAACTGTAACAAATAAGTATAGAAAACATTGAGAAAGTATTTATTATGGTCTAAATTACACAAACTGCCACTGAACCTATAAATATGTCAAAACCAATAAATAACACTTGTTAGTAGACAATAGTTTAACCATTATGCCAACAGTTCTTTCCAAAATTAGCGCACGAAATCATGCTGGTTGGTTCTATTTGTTATCCTCAACTACTACATTATGTTGTTCTTTATCATTTGAAGGTAGATCATGTTTACTTATGTATCTTCAGGCGGACTAACTGCCAGTACCTGTTGTATACAGAGTGTGTTCTTATGGAACATGTTTAATGTAGGCAAAAGAGCTTAGATAATGAATGTAAAAATATCGAATTAATTTGCATCAAGTACGACATTTGCCCACGTCTTCCAGGTATTAAAACCTATTCGAATTCTTGTTAGATTTTGTAGATTAAAACAGCTTCGTCTAGCATTTTAGAATTTTGCACTTACGGTAACAAAATAATGATTAGTATCTTATATCTTAAACTTCATTACATGTTAATAAAAACATTTTCAACGAATCTTTACATCACATTATCACAATAATATTATATAGTAACACGCAAATAAAAACAAAATGAATAAGTACGCAAAATAAACACTTATTTTTACATTACAATAAAACACATCTTGTATAAACTTGAAATTGAATAAACATGTTTAGGAAGAGTATTAGAACCTACACATGAACCGGTCCGCATAACTTAGTGTAACTTATTCCAAGTATCGCTTACAATATCGTGCACTTACCTACACGTCTGTTAAGTTATCGCCACGATTTGCATAAGTATCGCCCAATGACTACCAAGTACACTAAGTAGGATTACAAGTGTTTGGACCATGGTGCTGGATATTGATATTGTGTTACGAGTGAACATAGGAGGACAACCTAAATGTGGCCAGTGACTATTGGATTACACATAAATGTTTTCTGTTTGCTTTTGAACTTCATTACTGCATAATGTGGATTTATTAATGATGGAATCTAGACCATATTTTCTATTAACATTTTTTTTATATTTTAAGATTATTTTCAATGATTGTATTTTTTACTAAACACAACAATGAATGTCAACACTAAACCTATACAGGGTGTAAACGCAACGCTCCCGAATCGCTGACAAAAAGAAATCGTTTTTACAATTTTATTCGTTTTTGTTTTCGTTTTATTCACGCAACATCAAAAGAAACATTTAATACCTTACTTTTATCAAAATAAAACTTGTTTTCTACTTGTCATCTATCGGCGTTCTTCGAGAGATTTCCATTTACACCCTGTACTGTTACAATATTAATATTACATTGTGTACAAAAAGTATACGTGTAAATAAAGACTAAAACTACAACCGTCCGAAGTGACTCTAGTAGTAAGTAATGGATGTGAAACACTTGCTAAATCCCCGCGCGGTGTGGCAGGAGGTGTCGCTGGCGCCGGCCACCTTCGTGCGCTCGCTCGCCAGGAAGCTGGGCGCTGATGCAGAGGAACAACAGCCTAGGAAAGTAAGTATCACTAATTTAAAACTTTATTTCTTCCTACTGTTTGTCTACTACTTACGAGTACAAAGAGAGTACAAAGAGTTAAGAGTCCAAATGACAATTCCCATCAGTGTTTCCTCAATGGGATTTCGACTTTATTACAAAACTATAAAGCTCCTGGAGCCTATGTGTACTGGTGAAGTATAAGGTAATTTTTTCATGGTATTCCAAGCTATTGAAGGTGAGAACCCAAGTGTAATTTTATAGTTCACAGACATAACAGTATATTAATAACTATATGACTAATTTAGTGATAACTTAACTATTTATTAATTATCAAAGTATCAATTTACTAGTAGATAGTAGTCAGTCATCGTACATGCGCAGACGCAGCTTCACATCATACACGTGCTTTGTATAAATATAGATAATTGTTATTTTTTAAATAGGAAGAGGAACTCCTCCGGTCCATCATCCAGCCGCTGGAGATGGAGATCTCAGCTCTGAAGACCAAGTTACGTGACACTGACGCGCAGCTACAGGATGCTATGGCGGTGAGCACAATATTATATTAATATTTTAATTTTCGAATTGTAACTAATAGTTGTAAATGTAAATGTTGTAAATGTTTCCTCATAAAACATACTTACAATACTTTTGCTTTAGTATTTATTTATCTTTCTATATTGAGCTTTAAAGTGTTCGCTATATAGATTGAATTCCGATACGATTTCATGGTTACAGAAAGCGAAAGCAACAGCCGCAGCAGCTCCCAGTGCCGATGCTAAGCAAGACGCAGGTAAATATGCTCATTCCCAATAAGCAGTTTATCAATTCTATACTTTAGTGGATTTTGTATGTAAATATTGATCCAAATATCTAATTTTTTTCCAAATGTTTTTGTAGAATCGAGTAGACAATGTGACATGTGTGTGAACTACGAGAAGCAGCTCGTGCTGGAGCAGGCCAAGGCAGAGCAGGCGCGGGACCGCGCCAACATGAAGGAACTCGCGCTCAAACAGGTATTGTTGGAAAACCATCTTTATTGCTAGCACACGAAAGTTTAAGTATATTTACAGTAAAGAAAGTTTTAAACTTTTTGTAAACTTATGTTTTTACTGGTGTGTGTTAGAGTTCTCAGGTGATAGATTATTTTTCGACAAAGTATGATTAATATTGGAATATAAAATGGCTATACGCTTTTCAACAATTTTATGGCCCTAATTTTGGACTGTAATCATAACAAAATTGTTAAAAACTACCTGTTACATCTACCCTATTTACCAGATAAAGCCCCTGTAATAACCTTTAATCCCACCAGGCGACAGACGAGTTGGAAGGCGTCCGTTCCCTACACGACGAGACAGTTCGGTCGTGGCACTCGGAGCGCCAGGCCAGCGCGGCCCAGCTGGACACGCTGCAGGCCTCCGTGCGCGCCGCCGCGGACGCGCTGCAGACCCACGTGCGGCAGGCCGAGGAGGCCGAGCAGAGGGCGCTGCAGCTGGTCACCGAGCTCACGGTCGATAGAGAGACGCTGCAGAAGAAACTTGACAGGTTTGCGCTTAATGATGTATTCATTATGACAAGAGGTTTTTACTTAAACCCAAGACTACTGTCTTTTTTTCGTCGGCGAGCCATGCTGCGGCACGAATGGGCCGGCTCGACCGGAGTGATACCACGGCCTCACAGAAAACCGACGTGAAGCAACGCTTGCGTTGTGTTTCGTCGTGTGAGTAATGTTACCGGAGGCCCAATTACCCTCCCCTTCCCCAATCTCCCCAATCCCTAAATCCCCAACGATCCTCAAACTCCTAATCCCCAAAAGGCCGGTAACACACTTGTAACGGCTCTGGTGTTCTAGGTGTCCATGGGCGACGCCGATTGCTTACCATCAGGTGATCCGTCTGCTCGTTTACCGTCTTATGCCATAAAAAAAAGACAACTAATTCAGTAGCCTCTGGTGTTACAGATGTGGGTGACACTGATTATTTTACCCATAAAAATCTAAAAACAAATACGGCATCTATATCGATGTTATATAACACTAACTTATTTGTTGTTTGTCTACAGTTTAGAAAGAGACAACGCGATGCTGATTGGTCAGTACACGAAGAAAGCAGCTGAAATGCAGAACGAAATCATAGACTTACCCGACAATGTAGAGGTGAGGAATTCTTTAGTATCACTACTTTATCTTCTCATAATCACTATCGTGATATATACTAGACAATGTTCATACGGGCTATTTACGTCGACTTGATGGTTACGGGTCCCGATCGAGCTCGAAAACAATCAGGCAATCCTCGTGAAAAGATAATATAATAATGTTGTATTGTTTTGAATCCTTGTTTAACTGCAAGCTTTTAGTAAGTTATGAATGTATGTTTTAGGAGTTGCAAATGCACACACTGCGTCTCCGCGAGCAGTTGATATTCTGCCAGCTGGGCAGGGAGGAGGCGGCCGCCGCCGAGCGAGACCTGCGGGCTCAGCTACTGGAACATGGAGACCTGTTCCGGAGACAGGAGGCTGAGCTCGCCACGCTTAGATCACAGCTCAAGGAGGCACTGTGAGTATCTACTGCACTGTTACTTTTGTATCAAGTGGACAACTTGCATATCGACGAAACCGGCTATTAAGTAACGCCGCGTATTCATTTGCGGTTTTTATATGTGAAATTACTATTAGTCTTCAAAAACGTATCTAAGAAAGAAGTGTAGGTTTGTATCCTGCTTCTGGAATTTCTTCTGTAATTGTATAAAAATAAATTTATTTGTTACGTTATTGCAGTGACGAGGTAGACCGACTACAAACAGAGCAAGCCCAGATGAAGGAGCTGGGCGACAAGCTGCGCCAGTCGAGCGAGCTGGCGGAGCAGCTGCTGGACGACAAGCGCAGGCTGCAGGCCGAGCTGCACGACCTGCGCGCCAGGGTCACCGTGCTGCAGCAGGAACTGGACAACAGTGAGAAGGTGCAACAGGACTTTGTCCGGCTCTCACAGTCGCTACAGGTACGTGTACCAACTACTAAAAAGGTTCATAGAAATTAGGGTGCACAACGTTTATTATCATTTATATGTATTTAAACTATTTTCATAAATAACGATTTCATTATAAAACATCATCTCTACTAACATTTTGAAAGAAACAGCACATTAAATAATAGAAATCGACTAGTCAGCTTGGAGAATCAACCAAATACTTCCATAGCAGTATCCAAGATCCCTCATACCACTATACCGCTCACCATCATGAGAGGCAAATACTTTTGCATGAAGAACGAGGCTCCAAAGAAATACGCTTGTGAGGTACTATTAATGAACACCAGCAGCGAAAGGCTGGGATAGCCTTCTGCGAAAACAAGAATATCAAATGGCTCTCTATTTCCGGGCCAAGCCTCCCTAATGAATGACAGCACATCTAAGACAAGTGTGCGGTACACAACGTATGACGTGCTGCCAGTAGCGCGGGGAAATAGCGGAGGGTACAAATTTCAGAATAATTAGCGTGGCCGCTGCCGTGGTGGCTTATAAGAAAGAGAAAACTGCAGACCTTATAGGATGTGTCACGGCTTCAGAACATCATGAAGTCATCGTGCACGAGAACAGGGGTGAGGACTTGAGTTTCCTCAAAAACCCAGTTCAGTACAGTTAAGGGTGGATTCTCCAAGCGGCTCATAGCGTCTACATTAAAGATACTGGAAACAAAGCGCTCTGCAACTACATAAACGAAACACCGAGAGTAACTGTAAAAAAATAGAATCACGAGGTAGTATGTGGGAAATAACAGCAGCCGTATACTCAATAACCGGACTAATTTCGTCACCTTACAGGGAAAATGTAGCCAAATCTACTCAAGGATCGGAAAGCTATGCCGCTCAAATACAGTCTGCTTACTCTTGAAAATTTGAAACTAATCTCAATGTCAAAGCAATTTCAATCCAATAAAATCTCAATAATTATTCAATGTCAAAACTATACAACCCCTATCGTAGCTGTTAAAATAGCATTCAGAGTACGAAATATAAAGCTAAACTCAATACGTATACCATTTGGTTCATTCAATATCCTCGCAATACAGATGCAATGGGCGCTAGTATTGCAACTCGAGAGTACGAAATTTCACAATACCAATGTCGATGGATCGGTATTGGTATCAGAAGTTTTTGTGTACAGTACACTTGTGTTTTGCTTTAGTTGGTACACAGTAGCACCGAATATTGTTTTTTTCTTGTTAAAAATTCATATCAAGTTTGTTTTAGATGTAGGATAATAATTTTGTAAATGCTGTTTTTACCTATAAGTATTTGTTACACTTACTGTAAAGAACTCACATTTGTATCTCGACAATTGTATTGGTGTAAACAAATGTTGGTAAATCATAAATAAATAAATAAAATAAAAAGTAACCCCCAGGTCAAAAATAATAAATGATTTCCCTCCTAAATGCTCACTGAGATTTAGTTTCCCGTGTTCTGACGCCAAACCTTAAGTAAGTTTATAAAAAAGCATGTCTAGACATATAAATTGTAGAAAAAAGTCAATAGTTTAATTTTGCAGACAACGTTTTTGTTGTAAAATGCATAGGAAAAGAAATATTTTATAAATGGGATTTTGGCCTCCATTTTTCCAAAATTGCAAAATGAAAATCGGAAAAAGCGCATCAAAATCTACAAAATTGCCAATTTTTAACACATCCGGGAACTTTCGAGGTAGCCCCATATGTCCAAATATGGACATTTTGTGTCCCAATACCTACCTATTTCCCTGCGTGGGCTGAGCACCGCCGTGCCCTCAGGGAAGTGATCGGTGATGGCGACCTCTCGCGTCCGGGCCTAGTGCAGGCCATGATGCGGAGCGAGGGGGACTGGGATGCCGTCTCCTCCTTTTGCGAAGCAGTCATGCTAGCTAAGGAGGAGGCGGGACGCGTGAGGCAGCGAAGCGCTGCCTCCTCGCAACCCAGCCATCGCGAAGGACACACCGGGCGTCGGGGATCGCGAGACGATCTCCGACCACCGTAAGCGCGGGCCTGCGGACGGCGAGCATGGGTGGCTCCCCGTCCGACCAGAAACAGACCCGAGCGTACGGCGCCGAGCGTTCCGCGCGCGCCTCGGAGCCATCAGACCACCACAGATGGAGCTCAATAGGGCCGATGCCGATTCGGAGTCGCGGAGAACCTAACGGGTAACCGGGGCTCCGGCTCGACGTGCAGGAGAAGGAACGGGGTGGTTTTTAGTCAGTAAGAGTCTGACACTCCCTTCCGCCTCACCCAGGCGGGAGCAGTCATTCGATGATTTTCCCTTAAAAAAAAAAATACCTACCTATTTGATACCTTCTTGAAACTATGTGTCACTTTTATTACAAAGTGTATCCCAAAAATAAGCTTTTCGTACTTCTGTCTAATGTTATTGTGAAAAGAATATAGTTGTTTTAGAGAGGTAAAATATGTTATTGTGTATTCTTTCAACATACAGTTGATTTATTTAAAAACGTCGTTATAGGTACAACTACAACGGATCCGCGAGGCGGACACGGAGGTGCGATGGCAGCACGAGGACGATGTACACGACTGTCCTACCTGCCACACACATCTACCCAATAACAAGAAGAAGGTAACACGTCACTCTAGCATTTTGGGTTGTCTGTACTGACGTCATCACGGCAAGCCCGCGTCTTCGACCAGTTTTCAATTTCATTATTTTGTAACAAAGTCTAAAACAGATTGAACAAATTGAAGTTTTGAAGCTTTTCTTACGTTTTTTAATACCTACATAGATGTTTGTGTTGGTGATATGCAAGTGTCCGTGTTGTCCAGATGCACTGCCGCCACTGCGGGCGCATATTCTGTGCGTCGTGCGTGTGCCACTCGGTGCCGGCGGGCCCGCGCGGCGCCCCGGCGCGCGTCTGCTCCGTCTGTCGCACGCTGCTGCAGCCGCACGCCGCGCCCTACTTCAGCACCGACCCGCCGCGCTCGCCCGACTAGTGCCAGGCTCTCCACTCGGTGCCGGCGGGCCCGCGCGGCGCCCCGGCGCGCGTCTGCTCCGTCTGTCGCACGCTGCTGCAGCCGCACGCCGCGCCCTACTTCAGCACCGACCCGCCGCGCTCGCCCGACTAGTGCCAGGCTCTCACCACTCGGTGCCGGCGGGCCCGCGCGGCGCCCCGGCGCGCGTCTGCTCCGTCTGTCGCACGCTGCTGCCGCGCCGCGCCCTACTTCAGCACCGACCCGCCGCGCGCGCCCGACGAGTGCCAGGCTCTCACCACTCGGTGCCGGCGGGCCCGCGCGGCGCCCCGGCGCGCGTCTGCTCCGTCTGTCGCACGCTGCTGCAGCCGCACGCCGCGCCCTACTTCAGCACCGACCCGCCGCGCTCGCCCGACTAGTGCCAGGCTCTCACCACTCGGTGCCGGCGGGCCCGCGCGGCGCCCCGGCGCGCGTCTGCTCCGTCTGTCGCACGCTGCTGCAGCCGCACGCCGCGCCCTACTTCAGCACCGACCCGCCGCGCTCGCCCGACTAGTGCCAGGCTCTCACCACTCGGTGCCGGCGGGCCCGCGCGGCGCCCCGGCGCGCGTCTGCTCCGTCTGTCGCACGCTGCTGCAGCCGCACGCCGCGCCCTACTTCAGCACCGACCCGCCGCGCTCGCCCGACTAGTGCCAGGCTCTCACCACTCGGTGCCGGCGGGCCCGCGCGGCGCCCCGGCGCGCGTCTGCTCCGTCTGTCGCACGCTGCTGCAGCCGCACGCCGCGCCCTACTTCAGCACCGACCCGCCGCGCTCGCCCGACTAGTGCCAGGCTCTCACCACTCGGTGCCGGCGGGCCCGCGCGGCGCCCCGGCGCGCGTCTGCTCCGTCTGTCGCACGCTGCTGCAGCCGCACGCCGCGCCCTACTTCAGCACCGACCCGCCGCGCTCGCCCGACTAGTGCCAGGCTCTCACCACTCGGTGCCGGCGGGCCCGCGCGGCGCCCCGGCGCGCGTCTGCTCCGTCTGTCGCACGCTGCTGCAGCCGCACGCCGCGCCCTACTTCAGCACCGACCCGCCGCGCTCGCCCGACTAGTGCCAGGCTTTCACCGCCGACCTCTACTCCACGCCTCACTCGGACCCAGCAGGTTGGACTATATCTCCGCCCCGTCCGTCTTGAAGCACATCTAATATGAAAGAGATATCGTCCAAAAAGTTGCGTGCCCTGTGCTAAATACCTAGTGTTCCAAGTGTCACCTCATCGCGACTAAGTAGAACAAGTGTAGCTAGACGGTAGTTATTAAGGTATATCGTTGGGGACGCCCGGTTGGTAGGATTGAGGTTAAGAAGTCAACAGCCAGATAGGATACGATGCGTTCATTATAAAAGACAAATGTTACATAGTAATATGTATCGGTTATTATTATGTTCATCGATGCGTAATAAAGGTTTCATCATACAAGTGATTTACGAATGGTTTTACGCGGTGGTCGCGCATTGAGTACGTTGCTAATACGCCCCGGCGACGCAGCGAGGACATTACAACAACATTTACTATGCATGCGCATACGCGACAATATAATATATGCCACGCGTCTGCGCGGCCACGCTACATCGCTGCGTCATCGTTGCGCACTCGCTCCACTAGTATAAAACGTAAATGTTTAGATCATAAACAGACGGTGCCTGGTATATATCGGCATTAGTCTAATCGTACGTAATGAATTAGAAATCACGAGATATACGAGGCACTGTTTCTTTTCTCATTCGACACGGTATGACAGTTTGCTTCATATGGCGCAGTGGTTGTCGGGCAGGCTGTTGACACTCGGGGAGGAGTGCGACCGACAAGTGATAACGTGTGCCGTGTGGCGCTCGATACTAAGTTATGACATCTAGCGGTAGTTTAGGCTAAGAGTTGTAATATAAAGATATTTTATTGTAAATAAAAGAGCTCCATATTGATTTTATTGTGTTTTATTACAAAAAAATACTACCAAATAAGTCTTACAAGGGGTTTATGAAGAATTTGTTATTTTTAAACAGTGACCTCTACATTTTGAAACATTGCATGATTATAGAGGACAACCAGGACAGAGTCAATCTTTGGCAAGTTACCCTATTCTCAAAAAAGTACTTGTAGTGTTCGTCGATGTGTCCACACCGATTGCCACAAAATAAATTAATACATTTATTCTGACGTCATAAGTAAAACAAGTGAATGTATTTCTGCAAATACTGCTACAAATCTGCTACAAGGCAACTTTAACACGTAAATTTTTCAAACGAACCATGGGACCGACATTTCCTAACTGACTACTCTGAGACGAAATGCCGAAACCAACTCAGAGGTTCATCTATTTAAAGTCCAAACAAATATGTATATACAATATTGTGTGAGAACCATGCAATTCCATTCTGTTGTGGCCTTTTGAGGAAAGAACCAGAATAGTTTTAGCGGACCATTTCTGCGTATATATTGACATCTAGACGAACCACTTCACTTTTCTGAAGCCTAGAGGCAGGCACCTAGGAGTTTACGACATTGTAGGATCATTTATCATTATTATTTTAACCCATCAATCAAAGTGAGTGGATGTGTAACAACCCAAAAAGTAATTTTATTATATTACTAGCGACCCGCCCCGGCTTTGCACGGGTGCAATATGCATTTATTATACATACAAACCTTCCTTAAGAATCACTCTATCTATTAAAAAAACCGCGTCAAAATCCGTTGCGTAGTTTTAAAGATCTAAGCATACATACGGGCATACAGCGAAAGCGACTTTGTTTTATACTATGTATTGATCTCTTGTCTGAGGAGTGTAAGCGCACACCTTAGGTACGGGGAAACAAATAAAACACAGATTTACTAAGTCAACTTAACACTTAATATATTATTATGAAGGTCATAGCGACGACATGTGACGATAAAGGAATGAAGTAAACATCAATATAAAAATATGTGTATTATTAAATGTATTAAGTTCATCTCAAGTCAATAACTATGTATTATTAGTCTTCGTAGTCCTCTAAGCTGAGCGTCATCACGTCACTGACCAGGCAGTCCGCCGGCTAGAACAATACAATGTTATTACAATGATTGATTCTAAAATCACAAGAAAATCACAAGCATATCCAGCAGGAGACAGAAATAGATGATATTTCGTGGAGTCTTACCTCAGAGCAGATGCCGACCAATGCGTCTGCGCACCCGTAGAACTCCTCTTTGAGTGAGATGACAATGGTCTGCAGGCTTCCCTTCTTGGAGCGGATGTAGGAGGCTACCTTGCCGATGTTGGTGTTGTCCAGAGCTGCGTCTATCTCGTCCAGCAAGAAGAATGGCGCCGGCTGGTAGCTGGAACAATGTATATTAGGTTGAATATAGGTTAAAAAGTCTACTTTTATTGAAATTTTTTTTTTCTTTACGGATCACCGGATGGTAAGTTATCGGTGCCGCCCATGGACACCCGAAACCCCAGCGGTGTTACAAGTGTGGTACCGGTATTTTGGGGATTAGGAATTTGACAATTATTAGGTATTCGGCGACTGGGGAGATTGGAGATCATTGGGCCTCCAGTTCTTTCGTCGAGTGAGTGATCACATGACGAAAGCATGGCCGGCACATTCGTGCCGAAGCATGGCTCTCCCTCACTTTAATATTACATGAGATTTCTGGTTTGGAACATTTTCGTAATAGCGCTGAGTTTGGTATTCATTCCAGTGTAAGGCTATAGGTTCGCTTCCTTTTGACATAGTATTCACAACATAGCTAGTAAAGGTGTTAAAATTTTATACATGGACCACGCCTTTAGCTGTAGCCAAACGCCATTTAGCGCTTGTCTACATGTAGAGTAGAAAACTAAATTATATGGGTTTGACGAAATTTTGACACTTGTCAGTGTCATCCCCATACATTTAGTTTTCTACTCTCTCGGTAGACAAGCGCTAAAGTGGCGTTTGGCTAGACGCACTGTTCATATGTAGAATACCAGGCGACTCTATTATATGTGTATGATCATATTATGTAATTATGTTCTGCGTGTACTACAGTATAGCTCACCTATGTATAGCAAACAATAATGCGAGTGCAGCGACAGTCTTCTCTCCTCCGGAGAGGTTGGACATGGGCTGGAACCGCTTGCCTGGCGCCACGCAGTTGTAGTTGATGCCGTCTAAGTACGGCTCCTCGGGGTTCTCCGGACCTAGGAACGCCTGCGCTGACTGATTCATTGCTAAAGCCTGTAATATTATAACACGTGTATCAAGTTCACGAAAAAAAAAGAATAATCGACAGGCAATTAAAAAGACGCAAAACTAATTTGCCCTGCAAAAGTTATCTATACGTATTTGCTCAACTTACCTTGTAAATAGCGTCAATTTCGTTGGCGACGTGTTCAAAGCACTCCATGAACTTGTCGTGTCGTTCCTTCTTTACCTGCAAGGGAATTGTTTTTACGTTTTAGTCTCTATTTACAGATATGTCATAATTTATCATTATCTTATATCAGATCCTAATGTGTACCTTTTCGAACGCCAGTTTAGCTTTGTGTGCCCTCTTTCTAGCTGCAACGAATGCCTCGTTCGTAGCGTTGACTTTCTCTCGAACCTCATTGAGTTTTTGCATAGCCTGTAAATTAATTATGTAAATAAGTTCAAGTATTTTTTAGTTGAAATTGTGGTACACAGTCTTAAGAGGTAACAGTAGACAATATTAGTTACACCACGTAAAATACTGGTTGCTAACTCATTACAATGAGGACTACCATTATTTTGCTCAACAGATAGCAGTAATGTACCGTGAGATCTGGTGTTTTAATAGCTGTAGCTGTCAAAAGTTAACTGTCTAATTCTCTCCCCTTACCCTCATATTGGGCGCCTGTATCTTATCCACAGTGTTCTGCAGTGAGTTGATAGCTTTCTGCATCTTGTCCGCCTTGCGCTTGATCTCGTCTGGTTCCTCCAGCTCTTTCAGGTTCTCTGATAACGAGCTGTAGTCTACGCGGATCCTGGGACATTTCATGGAATTTAATAACATCAGTATTATAAAATAAATAGTAAATATTTTTAAATGTTATGTGCCTTCAGGAAAGTTGTTATTCTGCATGAATAATTAGCTCACTTTTTAGTAGACTCGAATAGTTTCGAGCCAACCAGAGCCCATAATTTTCATTATTATCCAATAATTTGGATTGAGTAAATAAGTTACAACAAAACATAGCCTGTGGGTTACCTGGAATCCTTTCTATACTGTTGTGTGGTGGACATGGAGGACGGGTCTGACTCGCCGTCTGCAGTGTCCTCTAAGTTACCCTCTAACAGAGGGATTATTATGTCGTCGATCTGTGGGAGACGTACATCATCAAAAGATACAGAAAAATAAATGATTATATTAAAAAAAAAACTTTTATTTTATATCGTAGACTAGTTATATAGTTGTTTGTTTACCTTGCACTGTCGCAGTATATTGTGTCGGTCGCTGCGCTTGCTCTCGATGCGAGATTCAATACTGGACGTCTGTTTCTGGATTGTCTGGATGTCTTTCTGGATGTTTGTCAACTCCTTGCGGGCCTGTTGTGTAGATAGTTATAGTAAGTATTTTGGATTAGTCAGTTCATAAAGAGATCTGTTTGAAAACCACTATTATTTATTATGTTTGCTTTGAATCGTATTAAAAATGTTTCTTACCTTGTTGACTTGTTCGTCAGCATTGTCCTGTCGTGTCCGTGCAGCGGAGCGCTCGGCTTTAAGGTTCTCAGCCTTGCGCAGGTCTGCATCGATCTCCTGCCTCTGCTTGGCCTCAGCCTGCCTGCCCCCCTCGAGTTCGTCTTCCGCGTCCTGCACGGCTCGCTCCCAGCGCGTGACGTTCTTCTGCGTGTCGCGACTGCGCTCGAATTCGAGGTTGGATGTGACGCGGTCGACCTGCGCCTCGAACTCCAGGCGGCGCTTGGCTCGCTCCTGCTGGGCGCGCAGCTCGCGCTCCTCGTACTGCCGGATGTTGGCGACGCCGATGTCTCTGCAGAAGCCGCGGAACACGACGTCCTCCACGTTGTTCATGTTCTCCTTGATCTCCTGTATCTTGAGGTCGCGCGCGTGGATCGTGCGCTCGATCTCCTCTATCTGAGGACCGAACATCTCAATCTTCCTCTCAAACTCTTCGAGTTCCGCGTCCAGCGCTTTAATTTGCTTTAGCGTAGTATCTCTGTCAGTAATGGCGTACTTCAGTCGGGATTCGAGCCCGCGTATCTGTGAGTCTACGGTCGTCAGCTCAGACTCCTTGCGAGACTTCTTCATAGACTCGCGAAGTTCCTCTGTCAGTTTTTCTTTTTTGGCTTTGAGCTGTGAGAGATGTTTCTCGTCCCAACGCTTGGCTTTGCGCGCCAAGTCCAGGGAACCTCCAGAGATGATACCAGACTTCTGATAGAATGTGCCGTCGAGTGCCAGTGCATCATATCTGCTGTTTTTGCTCCGGTCCAGGTCGTATGCGACCCTGGAAGCATCCTCAGGAGTCTCACATACGAGTGCGTTGTTGGTGACGAAGAGTACAGCGCGGTGGATGGCAGGCGGCTCGTACCTCAACACGTCGAACAATAACTTCACGTTTTTAGGCTCTTTTATGTCCCTGCGTGAAACAGAGTCGAGTTCACAAATGTACAATAAATAGAAAAACATACAGAGTACAATAATCTTGTAAAGCTAATGTACTGATAGAGAGAGTTACCTTAATCTTTCCCGGAGAGGTTTAGCCTGAATGTAGTCCAGAGGTAGAAATGTTTCTGGCTCCAACATTCTTTCTTTTAGCACCTGTACACAAAACATTCATTTGTATCATATTCTATACTGCTTTTATTGACCTATTAGACAGCTTTTCTGCTAGTTACGTAAATGAAGGGACTTTCATAAAAACTTTTAAATCCAGTCTTTATTTTTTTTACGGAACAGGAGGCAAACAAGCAGTAATTTAATCTATAAATAATGGCTATTATTGAAAGCTCTAACCTGAATACACCTCCTGGCAGTCTTCTCAGTATCTACAACGATGGCCTCCATGTACTTGCCGAGCACCTTGGTGATGGCCACGTTGTAACGCTTGTGGGTCGGCTGACACATGTTGATCATGCGGTCGTACTGGAATATATTAAATAATGTTTTGTAAAATAGATGTGCAATCACTTTTAAGTCAGCGAGATTTCGCTTGCGGAAAACATTGTTCATACTTCATACAACTATTTAGATTTTTTTGTGGGCTAAACGATTAACGTTCCCCAAAGATATCTCAAACAGTAGAGAAGTTACAGATGCGTCACTGCATATTTTAAAATCAATTCAGCATGAAAACTACCAGATTATAATTATAGCTCACCACGCCAGGGATATCCCTCTTGAAGCTCTCGACAATCTCCTGTTTCTTCCTGCGGCGCGCCTCCTCGTGTTTGTCGACGCGCGCGTCCCCCAGCGCGGCCGCCACGTCCTCCAGCTGCGCCTGCAGCTCGGCGGCCCGCCCGCGGCACGACCCCACGTCCGCCTGCACACGTATAATGTCGTGAATTCATCAAATTCTAAATTTTAACTACACCCTCTCGGACTTAGGTTCATGTACAAATATGCTTAAGTTAAGACCTGTAGTTCAGCGCGCAGTCGACGTTGCTCCTCGAGTGCCTGTTCGGAGCTCTTGATGTGCTCATTCAGTTTGTCCACACGTTTCATAGCCTCATTTCTTTCATGACCCTGTTGAATGAAACTGAATGAATAATGATCATAATATAATTCATATATAACAAGATAAATTTTCCTGTTGAAAGATATTCAACCTTGTAGCATTTGTAATAGTGTTCAAAGTCAAGTGGTAATGTTTACCTTCTGTCGATGTTTATTCTCGAACTCTCCCTTGCGTCGCAGCTCGTTATCGAGTCTGTCTTGGTCCGCCTTTTGTTCTCGGTTGACGGAGTCCAGCTCCTGCAGGTAGCGAGCCGCCTGACGAGACGCTTCCATTTTCAACTCCTCGTACTCACGGATCTAGGGAGACAGGTAAATGACGGTAATGTAATAACAATTAAAAATATATTATTAGCTTGCTCGAGTCTCGATTATTCGAGTGACTTACCGCGGCAGACTTTATATGTATAGTAGTGTTAGTAACAGAAGTTGTAGTACCAACCTGTGCCTCCTCAAGATGCACATCAGCGCGGCCAGCATGAGTGGCGCCGAGCGTGGAGTGCTCCCACTGAGCCTTCTGGTCCTCAATCTGCCGGAGCTCGTCCTCCAACTTCTTGATATCAGCCTGGTGTGCCTCGTGAGCCTTGCGAGCCTGCTCCAAGGTCTTCAGGGCACTCTCCAATTTCTTCTGCGTGTGCGTCACGCGTTCCTTCGCTTTTATGAATGTTGGACGCTTTTTTGAGATCTCTGCTTCCTGTTGATTGAGATATAAATTAATATTTGGAGATACTGAAGTAGGATTTACATGAAAATCCTACTTCAGTAGGATTGAAGTAGGATTGACGAAACAGTTATTAGTTCATCATGTTAATGTTACATGTTTAACCAGCAGGTATAGTACTCTATATTGGAAATCATAGATTAAGTACATTATTTATACATTTTTCCTTAAATTAGATGAGGACTGGTGTTTCTTATCCAAGTACTTGGGAAAGAAAACTATATTTTAACTAGCAAATAATAAATAACATAGTCAGAAATCATACTGACCACTTCTCTAATCTCCTGTTCAATCTTGGCAGTCTCTCTCTGCACAACTCCAGCTTCCTTCTTCTTCTCCTTAAGAACCTCCTCTAGCTTCTGACGCTTCTTCTCAACTTTGGTCAGCTCTGACTGTTTGTGCTGAAGATCTTCCTCCATTGATTGTATCTCTTTCTCATTGTGGTACAGGTGGTATAACTGGAGTTCTATCTTTTGCTCTTGCTGTTAATTGAAATGAGAGATACATTGTACATTTGATTTGAATTGAGTAATTCATATTTCATATTAATTTACTTATTAAAGACCATTGTATAAGGGTCTTAAGACCCTAAAAATAAATAGTTAGTCACATACATGTGAATCAAATCCAGTTGACAAGCAGAGGCTTGCCAACTAGTATCTAATTGCTTTTATTCATTCATCAGTAAGAGTCATAAAGTTAAATTACCAGTTCCTCCTTAAGCCTAGTGTACTTCTCAGCCTCCTCTTTTTCAAACTTGGCCTCTTTTCTCTCAGCAGCCACTCCTTTCTTCTTCTGGTAGGAGAACTGGGCCTCTTCATCAGCACGGTTCACTTCCCCACGACAGTGCTCATACTGTTCCTTCAGAACTCCCGATCTGGAAAATACAAATAGGCAATCAACTTTTTTGACATTATTTAGTTCTAATTATTTATCTTTACTGACAGGCATCAGGTAATGAAACAGCAGACATTTTTGCAGTATGCATGGTTATGTTCCACTTACCCACTAATTTCCTCAAAGAGTGCTGTTCTCTCCTTAGGGTTCTTCATGGCAATGCTCTCCACAGCTCCCTGGAAAACCAGGAAGTTCTTGGCCTTGACATTGATACCCAGTTTCTCCAGCTCACCCAGGTACTGTGATGTGGTTACAGACTGCGGACAAGATATTTACAAAGTTACTAAACACTTTCAGTAAAGTGTTGGACATAACATACCTATCATTAAAAATAATTGTTTCTATCAATAAATCTTGCAACAAACAACCATCAAATTAATAAAAAATCAAGTCTTAGTAACAGAGTTGCCATTTTTACCTTAACAATATAAAAAATATAAACTTTATAAAATATACATAAACTTTTGTTTTAAAAAATTTAAATAAATTCTTAAAAGTAACTTAAACATTATATTGTCATAACTTTAATATCTAAAACACAATAAAGAATATAGGACTATAAGAGTACCTACACTTAATTTAATGAGAATTCATCATGAAAAAATGTCTCACCTGTCCATCGATCTTGTGTTCGGATGACTGTCCAATCACTGACCTCTGGAACTGCTTCTCTGTCATATCCTCAAGAACAAATGTTGCTGTCACTGAAGCACTACAACATAAGACACTAATATTAGCAACTCAATCACACAAAACATTGAAAATTATGACATTAGTAATCTCATTATTAATAAAACAATTTTTAATTTCAATTCCTTATTTGTTGTTGTACACAGGTACATAATACAGCTTTTATCAATATTTACCTTCTGGATACTGGTTTGTTGATGGAGGCTCCATGTATCAAATCACTGAGACGTTTCACACGGAGCAAAGAAGTCTTTTCACCCATCACAAAACTTACAGCGTCCATGAAATTTGACTTGCCTGTCGAGTAATGTATTGTTACATAAGAGACAGTGGGTCGTCTAAGTATTCATAATATGTTAAGTTACACCCTAGCATAGCAGCATAGCATATATAAATCAAACTCATACAGTGTTCAGTAGGTATAACAGACGTTTGTACACAATTCTATTTCGATACAATTTTACAACTGTTAACATATAGCTAAAATTACAAATAATTAATGAATTTAAATAAGATTTATAGTGTTCCTTACCTGATCCATTAGGCCCTACCACCGCAGTAAAAGATTTCAGAGGTCCTATTCGGTGGTGCCCCCGATAGGACTTGAAGTTTTCCATATCAATATATTTGAGAAACGCCGGCATTTTGGCTTTTATAATTTATTTGAAACTACCATTCAGTAATAGTACGCCAAGTTTAACATAAAAGTAAATTATTAGCGCCAAACATCGTCACATCAACAATACCGTTGTCGCTGTCAAACAAATGTCAGCCATCTTTGAACTGGTTAGAGATGTGCCGTCTACTGACGAAAACCGTAGTAAACTTAACTGTTAGTCGATTTCTGTATCTTTTTTCTTGATGTCTTCCGCCAAAATTTGTTATTAGCTTTATTGTTTAGAATATTGTTTTTTACAACAATCGTACTCTGGAACGTTCGTATCGTATTTGATTTGACTGAAAGAAACGTCAAATATTTATTTATTGACATCTTCGTTTCAATTAGATCCTTCTTGTTTTTATAATAAATTGTTTGGACATGGATAAATGGTAAATAAAACTATGTCAGGTGATCGTGATCAAAGTCCTACAAGTACTATCAACTTAGCTGATCCCGAAGAAGCTGTACTAATGGATCCCATAGATCACGAACGCTGTCGATACCCTTACTGTATAGTTTGGACCCCAATACCTGTACTCACGTAAGTTTGCTATCATCATTTAAATTAACAGAATATCTTATTAATAATTTCCAGTATCTGGAATGCATAGTAAAGTTAATTTGCCTAGTACTGCACTAGCATCAGATTTGTTAATATTACCTGTCGATTTCAATAACAAGATAAGTATTGTTAGAATAATAAGACCAATATTGTTTTGAGCATATCAATTTCCAAGAATAGAATATATTTGTGATGAATCACCTATATTTTATTGTGTTAAAATGAAGCAGTTTTCCTTCAACATAATTGTATAAATAACAACTTGTTTGTTATGTGCTTTAAAATAATAAGGAAAATATGTTTTCAGTTGGATATTTCCTTTCCTCGGACATATGGGCATTTGTACATCATCAGGTGTAATCCGAGACTTTGCTGGCCCATACTTTGTATCTGAAGATTTGATGGCATTTGGAAATCCAACAAAATATTGGCAATTATCTCCACAAAAGGCAAATAATGGTCAGGCAGGGTGGGATGCCGCTGTTGCTGAAGCTTCTGAAATTTATAAGAAAAGAATGGTATGTTTTACTGATACTCATAGTATATATAATTCATAAGAATACATATTGTTATTTTTCCTCACAATTTATCTCCATTATGTATTGTTTCAGCACATACTGTTCTATGATAACTGTCATTCCCACGTGGCAACTGCTCTGAACATAATGAGCTATGGAGGCTGCAAGAACTGGAACATGGTGAAGCTGGCATTCTACATGATACCATACTCTAGTTATGTCAGGTGATTAGATACAGATATAAGACATCTTTATTTCTAGTTAAATTTTATATTGTGAAGCTTGCAATGTTGGTAGTATGATTGTAATGAACATTTTAATGTTTTTGTTTCAGCATTGGAGGGTTTCTCAAAACTTGGATTCCATTTTTGATAATAGTAGCATTTATAGTTGGTTTAGCAGCAATTATTTAGATGCAATGACAAATCTGATGTTGTGTACTGTGCTTTCTGATTGATGGTGTGAGCTGTTGTATTGAAGACTTTGTGTGTGTGGTGGATATCATTGGTGCTGGAAGTGTGATGGAGACTGTTGTGAGCTGGAGCCGGACAGGTTGTTCCACACAAATATATGATAGTTAATATTATTTATAGTGTTAGTTATGTGCTATTGTGTATTGATAAGTTACACACAACTGTTATGGTACATTCTGGTTAATCATGATGAAAGTCTTATAATATATTCTTTGAATTATGTTTCTGAAGCACCTGCAGTACACTTGTCTATATAGTATTCTATTTCTATTATTCTTGTTTAGTCACGGAAGCCATGTCTATATGGTTACTTATAATAAATGTAACACAATTGTTTATGTTTTATTTGTCTGGCGAATCACATAGTCAAGAAGGAATTGTCTTATTTATACAATAAAAATAGTTTTATTTCAATTGTGTACTTTTATTTACAATTTATTAAAATTAAAGATGAGAATATTTTTAACTTACTAAACAACATTTATAATTATATGCAAATATATTTATTGCATTACTTATTTAAGGCTTACAATGCATTGTATCCTGATTGATAATCTAAAACATTTATTTATGTCATAGGCCTAATTTATAGTTTGTGGCTAGAAATAATTTTGTTTATGTTCTAAAATAATTTATAACCTCTTCCTTTTGGGGAAGTCGGTTGAACATAAATTTAGATATTGTAACCATGAGGCCGCGAGTGGTACAAAATAAAAATGGAATTATTCTAAATTTATGTATCACGTGTCTGATTTAAAATTCGTAACAATTTAAATGATTCCACTATGTAAATAGATATCATTGTAATCCAGAGACTCCTTCTCAGTTAAATAATTAACACTCTTTCAAGACACTGCGTTCCACATTGAAATCATATTCATATCCACTCATATTGACTTTGCTAGTCAGAAAAGCGAGAAGATCTGCCATTTCTGTAGCGAACGTATCCTTTTTCGATGCCATTTGTAGAGTTTTAGACATGGCGAACGGTACTCCTTGCAAGTAATGAAACGTTGGGTCAACCAAAGCAGTTCTTGTGGGAGCTGGCGGCGCTGGTCGCGGCACGTATGGAGTTGATCCGCCACCACCAGCAACGTTAGGATACAAACTGTTTCTAGGCGAACTAGGATCAACTACGACGAATCCATCATCGGAACGCGCACCAGGAATCGGAGGAGTCTCTTCTTCGACCTCCACAGGAGATCTACGCTTACCAAATATTGATGAGAACATTTTGCTGAACTAATGTAGTACTGAGTCTCAGACAGATATTTTGTTACTTTGATTTTTGTATAAATGATTATGAACAATAAGTATGAGTCAACAATGAGTTATATTGACAGATGACATTTGTGATAGTGTAATTGACGTTTTCGGTTGTGTCAAATGTAAATCATCTTTTAGTGAGATCCTGTACAAAAACCGGCAAAATTCTATAAGAAATTGATAGTAAATTAAACACTTATGTTTTTTTTTGATAAATATGCTTTTGATAGTAAATAAAATTGATAGTAGTTTAACCACTTATGTATTTTTTTTGATAAATATGCTTTTGATTTATTTATTCTAGTCTTTTCTTTCAAAGGTGCAACATAAGCAGTGTGTGAGAAATTGCGCAGATTTACTTATACTACAATTTATTAATAAAAAAAATGTTTGTAGTCGGAAGAACCGCTATTTCGGCAATACCGGTTTTTGATATATTAAGCAAGGTGCGACTTTAAATCAACTATCACGAAACGTCATTCTGATTGGTGATATTGTATCAAGTTTTCGAACAAGAATCATGTTGGCCAATAAAAAACTAGAAAAATTGCTAATTGGAGTCTGACAAGAAGAATTTGTGAACGGACTGATCATTCGACGTAACTATTACGTCAAAATCTGGTCAAAACATAGGTTTTAGGCTTGTTTTGAAGCTATTATTAAGTGAGTTTTTTAACTTGGATATGAACAAGTTATTAAAATGTTGTTATTTATGTTTGTTGTGACGATAAAATACTACGAAATAATATATAAAACTGTTAAATAGTGCTATCTAAGGACATATTTATTCAAGTATTCGAAGCCCCAGCTGGTGTAAGCAAGGTACTAATATTTTGTGTAATGTGGTTCCTTTATGTATTCAGTTGTAGTATAAAGTCATTTATACAGGCGACCGATCATTTAATATGTCGAGATTTATTGTTTGTTATTGGATGCGCCAGTTGTTGTGGTATGTTGAGGTGTACTTAGTAAATTGGCATTATCAATTGATATTGGGGGATATGTGATGTAGTCTATCCAGTATGTTAAATGATGGAAATGTACCAATAAACATATTCATAAATAGTTGTGTAGATGTGTACATACAACTAGGTGGCATAGTTTCATTAAATGGGAAATACTTTTCAAAAGCTCTGTATAGTTCAATGTGAAAGTTTTTAATGCTCAATATTTACATACATTCTAAAGAAATACATTATCTTGTAGATAAATTTAATTTATTCACTGCAACTATTTTATGAGTATTATATATTTATCAATAGTATTAATTTAGAATTATTGAAGTATCTAAATCACTGCAGTGTGTGCCAAAATTAGTTGGGATTTCACTATGGAATATAATATTGAAATATTTCTTACTCATCCATTTGGATATTGAAGTCATTGCCTAGTACATAGCTATAATAAAATGTTGGTACAATATGTTTACAAAAGTTAACTTGATTTTAGGATACCGGAGAAATGGCTGACGAACCTGGCCGATCATCCGGGAACTCAGGTAAGTTAAATAGCTATAGTTATTAAGTATTTATAATTGACCAATGACATAATTATAAAACTCTATAATAAATATACTGTATTCCCAAGAAACAAATACTTTCTCTAACAAATACTGGTGACTCATGCCCATTAATTGTGGGTTTGGAACAGTCATCAAGTCACCAAAATATGACTAGGATCAATTACTCACACAATTATAATTATTTTGTGGCAATATACCTATTTCATTGTGTAATTACACTTTACACTTACTCAAAAATTTTTGTAATAAAAATAGGAAAAATATTATTATTGTTGTAGGTTGAAATTATGATTATGTATGGCCTCAACAAGTATTATATTAACACACTCAAACTCGGTTTTACTGTTAACTGTGCTAACCACAGATACAATCAATGCTTAGCACCCGTTTGAGGAATTAATTGAATGAATTCATTTGTATTATTATATTATTTTCACACAATTGTTGTTACATGTTATTATTATTTTTAAATGGTATATTGTCTCTGTTTCATTGTTTAAGTTTATAGAGCAAACCATAAAACAAAAATATAAGTACTCACATAATACCACTTGTTCTCAAGAAATATCAGACCACTCTGATTAGAACCATTTCACTATATCGCGATTCTATTCTCAAACATTGGCCATTCAAGACCAATCCTTATTAATATTTGGAAAATTCGCATACCTACCGACATTTTTCAAACCCGAGACCTTGTACTGGGCAGCTGCAACTAAAAAACGACGATTCAGTGAAATATTGACAACAATAACTAATTAACTTGTGTACTTGTGTATTTGTGTACATTTGACTTGTAATGGCAGATTATATTGCTCATAAAATGTAATTGTTAGCAAGACACCGCGCGCGCCACACGCATGTTGCAGTACCGGATCTAACCACGTACAAGATTAAGCTACCTACTGCTACGGGCTCCGCGAAAAAGGGCGCCTAGTTAAACCAGAACCACCTCGTAATTTCTTGATAAAACATATCCAATCAAGGGCCTAATTAGGGATGCTTACTCCGGCACTGATGATGTGTCGGGTGGCGCGTGGCTGGTGATCGTGGTGTGGTGCATCTTTTACGTGGCGTGGTAAATCTGTGGCTCTGTTATTCGGCCGCCCCAGCCAATCACGGCGCGGGTGGAGGGTGGTGGAAGGGAAACGGTGGGCGAGCCACGCTCCACGGCTCCTCAGATGTTATTATTGCCATGGTGTGAGTGATAATGTGATGAATCTTAGTTGTTGCTAGGGTCCGCCTACTGCTCTTAATATTCCTACGAACATTAAGCTTTCAATTTAATTACCGATTATTAATAATGACAATGTCACTTCGCTATTTTCCACCTCGTCATCTCCTATGCTGGATTGAAAGTAAATGTTTATGATGTAGCACTAGCATGAATCAATAGTGCATTATCGGTCGCTTACTCAGTGGTATTGAATACTGTTATCAATTTAAAATGTAAACATTTTTGTGAGTTTTCCTTAGCGGAAAATTTTCGCCGCTGCGTAGTACAACCGGGCCGGGGGCTCGTCACACACACCCATCTGTCGCGATCGATGCTTCCAAGGCCACGGGCGGGCTATCGATTTTATATAAATAGAAGCAGCCCCTCGCAACCCCTGCCCCGTATGCGCTCTGTCATCGCGCCCGGGAACCGGGACCACAGGTTCGATGCCCGGCCTTGTGTCGCACTTACATTGTTTCGTTTGCATTTATTTACTTGTGGTTGTCAGTGCAAAACGAAAGCGGTTATTGCTGTGGTTTTAGCTTTACAGATATACTACTTATATTGTCATCACCCGCAATCGTAAGTTAATTGTTTTAAAATATAAAGCATGCTCATATTGCATTAAAAGTGCTTTATCGTTGTCGTAGGCCGTGATCACAACTTAAGCCTTTGACCGCCGCGTAGGTCACCGGTGACCTACGCGGCGGTTAACGTGTTAAGTATACGAATATGCCTTTACTATGCCTGCCTACCATTGATATACATAACTATATCGAACCCGATTCCTTTATTTTTGACGCGTATTAAGAAGGCACGTAACAGGTTTCTACTTTTTCTGGAACAGTTTTGTGATAACAGAATATTTTTTATAGTTCGGAGGCTGTATCGCTCGTTTAAATTCTTGGAATTTTGGAGAATTGTATGGAATATTGGATATAGTTGGTTGCTAGGATACATTTGTAAAGGTTTTCAGATGAGCACGTCGGAGGGGTGTATTGAAATATTAGGCCCGCCCGCACCGCGCCGCGCCGCACCGCGCCATGCGTCGCAACTTTCTCGAATAATTTACCTGTTCTTAAGATGACTCAGATTTGGCCAGGTTGTTGTTTGCTCTTAAGCTCTGATCTCATCATAAGGTATCATGTCTTACGACACTGTCAATATGGCCTGACTTGCTTTGTTTCGTAGGTGATCGTTCGTTGTTGTAGGTGGTGCAACAGCTCATATTGATAGATTAAAACCGAATTCAGAATACCTTCCTCTATAAATGAACTATCCAACGAGACTAGCGCGTTCAACCAAACAAACTTTTCAGTTCTATAACATCATCGACTGCCTGACCTTACCTGACTTCTCAGTAAAAGTAAACTTCTGTTTAGTTAATACTTTAACCAAAACGATGCCATTAATATAGTATTCACAAGTTTCACCGTTTATCCTCAACTCATGTAACATTATAGTTAAATGGCCAAGTTTGATGATGTATCTATTTATCCTGTGGGTAGTTTTTAGTAGTACCTAGTACCGCGGCGTTTTTGTTGGAACATATTGTCCATATTCACTTAGGTGACTGATCGACGAAGAAACTCGTTTTCAATTTTCCCAGTTGCAGCACAGATAGTTGACAGCAACACTTATGCACAATAAGCACATGTCTTTGGTTGTTGATTTGATAACAGTTATCTGTACATTTTCTTCTTTTCTATCTGGTTTGATTGTTTGACTCACTAATCTCAGGAAGTACCAATCTGAGTTGTCATCAGATAGATATACAAATACTTATGTACATCTTTTTACATGTGACAGACCTAAACAGAGTAGGCGAGTAAAACCACAGAACAATGTTAGTATAATATGTGCGGTGAACTGAAATCTGATATTAAGCTGTGACTAAACCGAGTGGGCGTCACCCGGGGCGCCGGCCGGCTGGTGAGTTTATTTGAAAGCTCCCCTGATAGATGCGCACACCACCAAGTCACAGCGACTCTCATAAATGTTAGCAACAGAGATGACTCTACCAAAGATTAGTAAACATAGCTCCGTGGCAATGATGCGGGACAATGCTGTCTGACGTGTCCCGCGTAGGTAGCCCAGGTGTGTCAGAAACAATATCACACAATTTATGGATGTGTAATCTACCAGTAAACGTATCGATAAACTATAATAAGCTCATTACTATTCATATCTCTTGTGTTAATCGAATCGGAATACAGTTATCGGAATTCC